TAGTCCTCGAGGTGCTTCTCCTCCTCCTCCTCCTCCTTCTCCTCGTCCTCCTCCTCGTCCTCCTCCTCCTCCACCTCCGCCTCCCAGGCCTTGCCCTCCAGCGCGTCGTTTGATACGACAGAGGGGAGGAAGGGCGGCGCGGTAGATGTCGTCGATTGGACGCGCCCGGGGTTGAGCCAAGTGCAAGAGGGTTGTCTTGCCAGAGCGCTGAGCCGCCATGGCCAGAGTGGCAATGACACGTAGAAGATACGGAGAAACACCAACAGAATGATGAAGGGTAAGACCAGCAGGTCGATCAGAAGGGATACGCCCACAACGAGCGATTCAAGGAGGAAACCCGAATGGAAATTGGTTTTCATGAGCCTGTTGGTCCAGCCATGCCCCTGCTTGGAAGGACAGTGCCATAGTCGATGGTCGGTGGTTTCGATTGCCGTGCCACATCGTATACAAAGTTCGTCGCCCTCATGGTAACGGGCGCGGGAAACGTGGAGCCGGGTCCACAAACCAGCAGATGTGAGTGCAGGCCTTCCGAAGTGGAATTGGACAACATAAACCTGTTCATGAACGTCGCGGACTTTTGTGAGCCCCAGAGGAGATGATCGGGAGAGGCCCTCTCGACAAGTCGCACATTCTTTATGCTTGCATAGCTGACAGTATCGGTAGGAGGCTCTGGGCGAAGGCGGTCAAGAACTCCTGGATGGGGGAAGGGTTGCAGCTCGTGCCCGACATGAAAGGCCTCCGACGACAGTGCCGCATGGCTTTAAAGCGTAGCGATTTTAAGTGGAAGGGCCTTTTGCAGTGCGTCATGACAGGAACAACATGGTGTAGGCAGAGACTTTTTGAGTATGGCCTGGAGCCTGACCCCGTGTGCCCTCGCTGCGGGCAGGCTCCAGAAACTGACAAGCATCGATGCTGGGAGTGCCCAGCCAATCAGGAGTTTCAGACGATTTCCAGCAGCATAATTGCAAAAGCGCGAATAGAGTCAGATAGTATGCCCAGCATGTGGATTCGAGGATTGGTGCCATCTACGTGGACTTGCGTCCCAGATCCGACAGACGAAGACATCAGCTATGTTTTTGGTAGGTCGAGCCACCAAGTTTTCGGTGAACCAGGCGTCATCTTTGGAGAAGGAGACGCCAGCGGAGGAAAAGATCAGGATCCCAAGCTGCGCCGAGTGGCCTGGGCCTTTGCTACCCTAGGCGGATTCCGTGGGGACGGGAGTTACGATGTGGGTGAGTTGAGGTTGGGGCACTTGCAGGGAGGGAATCAGCCAGGTTTTTTTCAGACAGTGAACCGTGGTGAAGCCACGGCGTTGCTAGATTTTGCAGCTACAGTCCTTCCGCTGGCGCACGCCATTTATGTGACGGACTCAGAGTATGTCATGCGGGGAGTCGAGAAGCTAAAAGTAGGCAAGCTTCCTGACACGCATGTGGATATCTGGCGGCGCCTTGGAGAGAGACTGGCGAAGCACCCTCGCAGAGGAATTCGCGTGCTGAAGGTGGAGAGCCACCTTAATGCAGGGGATGCGATCGAGCGGAGAGTAGACCCTGCCACCCTCTTTGTCAACGCTGTCGCGGACACCGCAGCGAGCAGACTTGCTGAGGAGTTCAGAATTTCGTTTGCTGACAGGTGCAGAGTGGAAATGGCGACGGCTGTAGGTTTTTCGGTCAGGAAACATTTAGCCAAAGTCCTAGATAATGTGATTGAGACGGTGCCCAGGCATCAGCCCAGTAGGAGAGCCTTGTCTGAGAGAAGAGAGAGAGAAGCTCGCAGCATCCAGATCACGGAGCACAATGGTGCACACATCTTAGGCTCCAGAGTGAGATGCAGGGAGTGTGGAGGGTCCGAGCCGACGAGAGAGTTGAATCGTTTCCTTGACACTCCCTGTGTGAAGACTTTAATGAGAGACGTGGTGCTCTCGCCAGCGGGAAGGCAGGTCTTCAACGGCCGCGAGCTGCATGTTTCACACGCTATCGGAGTCCATCAGATATATGGGACTCTGATATGTTTGAAATGCGGGTTCTATGCCCAGAAAGGGGCGAGGAACCTTATTCTCCCCTGTCAGGGCCGACCGACAGCGCACGGGAAACGGGCCCTGCGCAGGCTTCAGAAAGGTGAAGTACCAGCTGTGCGGTCAAGAGAGACCGACAGAGTTACAGCGGATAATTAGTAACAGGTTGAGCCAATGGCTGGAAACAGAAAAAAAATAGTCGCGGACTTCTGTGAGACCGTTCGACAAACCGCCGAAATCTTTCGGCCTCCGTTGTGCTTGGCTGCGAGCGAAAGCAAAACGAAGAAAATCACGTAGGTCATGAAGAAACTTGGTTTCCACCCGAACACGTTTGCGGAGGCCTGGGAAAGCATCCCGCTCAGCATCGCCAAGATGTTCAGGACGGATGGTGAAGGCGTACTTGCTTGCCCCAGCCTTTACAATTGTGGCGGAATGCCCATCGACAGAAATTGTCGAACACGCCCGAGATAGCAGCGTGAACAGAGAAAGTTCAATTCCGCTGGTTGAAGGATTCCTGCCAGGAGGACGCGGTATAATAGCCGCGCGCTGGTGCAGATGGCCACGCACCCCAGATGGGTCTGGTGACAACCAGGCCAGTTAGCGAAGGCGTAGTGGCCAAAGGACACATCCCCCCTCCTTCCTCACACTGGTCAAGGGCTCTGTGCCCCCACTGGCTCTCAGGGGGTGTCCATGAGCGATTTTCCAGCGATTCCACCACATCCAGTGTGCACGCTGGGGCCGTCTGTCCTTCACTCCCTCCCTCCTTCCTGTTCTCCTCCTCCCCCCTCCTCCTCTTCTTGCGATCTGCGGTCTGCGGATTTTTTCACCCCGAATGGTCCGAATCACCGCCCTTTCCTTCTCTCACTTCCCCCCCTCTTTCTCCCTCCCCCCCGAGCGGAGGAGGATCAGAGGAGCAAAAAAGTGGGCGATTCAGCCACCTTCCATCCACTCGATGGGCAAAATAGGACCACCGGGCAAGTCAATCCAGGACGGCTGGCCGAGCAGGTGTGTTCCCCTCTCTCCTGTCCCCCCTCCGCCCTCCCCTGCAGCGGGATTGAGGAGAATGAGAGGGAGCAGGAGGAGGGAGGCGGAAGAGGGGGGAGGAGGAGGAGGAGGAGGAGGCGGAGGAAGAGGAGGAGGAGGAGGACGAGGACGGAGGAGGAGGAGTAAGAGGAGAAGCCACCACTACCATCACCACCACCACGAGAGGGGGCCACCCACAGCGAGAAGGTCCATGATGCCCCCCTGAACCGGGGATATATGGTCCAGGGCTTGGGCCCCCCCCCCACCAATGCTGATGCCATTGGGCCCCCCCCCCGCGCCATGGTCCCCCCCGCCCCCCCCTGTGGGCGTGGCGTGGTGCTGCGCTGCGGTGTCCCCCCCCCCCCCCGTGTGGATGTGGTGTGGTGCTGTGGTGGTTCAGAAGTGGGCGTGGCGTGGTGCTGTGCTGCGGTGCCCCCCTCCCCCCCCTGTGGATGTGGTGTGGTGTTGTGGTGGTTCAGAGGTCGTCGTCGTCGTCGTCGTCGTCGTCGTCGTCCTCGTCGTCCTCGTCGTCATCGTCGTCCTCGTCGTCGTCGTCGTCATCATCGTCGTCGTCGTCATCGTCGTCGTCGTCGTCGTCATCGTCGTCGTCATCGTCGTCGTCGCCGTCGTCATCGTCGTCATCGTCGTCGTCGCCGCCGCCGCCGGCGTCGTCGCCGCCGCCGCCGTCGTCGTCGTCGTGGTCGGCGTCGTCGTCGTCGTCGTCGTCTCTGGGACCATACCATCTGGGGGGGGGGGCGAGGAATCCTGGGAGCATACCATCTGGGGGGGGGGGGCCCGTGAACCCTCGACCCTGGATCATATATGTCTTGAGCGAGAGGGAGAGACCATGAGGGGGATCCCCCGGGGTGAGGAGAAGACACCATTATCACCTCCAGATGGGGCCCCCTCCAGCGAGGAGGTCGACGACGCCTCCCCGAGCCTTCGATGGAGGAGGAGAAGGAGGAGGAGGAGGAGGAGAAGGAGGAGGGAGGAGGAGGAGGAGGAGGAGGAGGAGGAGGACGGGGAGGAAGAGGAGGAAGGAGGAGGACGGAGGACGGAGGAGGACGGAGGAGGAGCAGGATGTTTCAAGCGAGACGTGGAGGCTTCGCCACCCAGGGGGACTCTCCCTGGCTCTGCCCGCTGGTGGCCCCTGGTGGTGGCGGTGCCGCTTTTCCTTTTCGGCCACGCTCAGGGGGCGGTGACGCCGAGAGCGATTACTGTTCAAAATGGGCAGGACATGCTGTCGGAGGCCGCTGCGTGCCTTACCTCTGCCTGCCCCGCCCGCTCCTCGCCCTCGGCCTCCCCCCCCCATGCCTCTTGCCTCCTGCTCGGCCTCGTCTCCGGGGAGGCGTGGTGCTCGAGCGTCGGCTTCGCGCAGAGGGGGATAGGGGAGGGGGGAAGGCTTCTCAGAAGCACCCCTGCTTCTTGGAGGGCGCAGGCCTTGTCTGTAGGCGCAGGGCCGTTGCCCTCTAAGAAGCGGCCTCCTTCTAGGAAGCCTTCACGCCTTCACCTACCCCCCTTTGTGCGCACCGCCAACCCAGCGGCACAGAAAAACGGGTTCGGTTGCGCCGACATTCGCGCGTAAGATGCCTGCGTAAGGTCGCACGTAAGCGCCCTCGTTTCCAATGTGGCGTGCTGCGCTGGCGGCCCGCGCATGCCACCGCGTAAGGTCGATACAGTCAACCATGATGGTAAGGATGGGGAAAGCTTCCGAGGCTGCTCTTTATATCTGTGCCCCTTCGGTATTCGGCATCCTTCGGCATTCTGCCGCGCTCCGCACGGAAAACGTCAACATGGCGTTCCACGACCCTTGCATCCTATACCGCGCATCCTTACCTATCTTGGTCGAGTGTACGTGTGTCATCGTGCGTGAGACCCTTTCATTTCGTCGCCCAACTGCTCCCACCCTCCCCCCGGCAGAACTCCGTCGACCTCCTCCTCAGCGGCCGCGCCCGCCCTCGCCCAGGTGCAGTTGAGGGACGTCGCCGACCTCCCGCACTCCGAGCGCGCGAGGCCAGGGGCCTTGCCGCCAGATTCGGTGGGGCGTGCCGGGGGATGTCGAAGAACAGCAGACGGTGCGTGTTACGCCTGGGCGGGGACGGATTCACCTTTGACGCGGCCTCGGTACAGTGGAGGGGCTCTTCCGCCCCCCCCCAACGCGGGCGCGGGGCAGGCTAATTAGCTTCTGGCAGAGAGCAAACGCGCTGCGCCGGCCACGATGGGACTGCCCAGCTCGGCGACTGCATTGCAAGTTGTGTCGTTACATTTCCCTGTGTCGCTGTGAGTTCGGATCTTCGGTCAATGCCAGATGAAGATTCTGACATTACTGGGGGTCGTGTTCACGCGGCGGCGCCCAGGATGAGGATTAGAAAGATCGGCCGCAGGCTGGGACATACGGAGCCGAAGCGAAGCGGAAGCCGAATATGAATATTCATAAAGTTGGTTTTTTTGATCTTACATACTGTTTATTCGATGTGTGGTCGGACGACAAGTTTCAGATCTTGCACTTCGGCACTCACACAAAGACTCACGTGGCCTCAGTGTGGCTCCCTCTCCCCATTCGGCCTCTCTGGCCGTTCCTCGCCTCGCGAGTTCCCTTTTCCCTTTGCCTCGCTGTGCCCCGGCGCGCCCCGCCGTGGCCGCTGACCCTAAAAGAGGGTTAGGACGAAAAGAGATCAGCGGGGCCCAAGATGGTGTGAGGACCACGCCGTGCGCTGAGGTGGTGGGGGTTTGGGCTCACCAGGCGGTCTTGGGGCTCGAACCGTGTTCTGAGGTCGCCTCTCCAGCAGCCGGGGCCTCCAAAGTCTTTGGTGACCGCGCGGTGACGGGTCGCGCGGTGAGGTCTCCATGGAGTCCGAGACCACCACGCAGTCCGACGCCACACTATTCGGGGGGCCCGAAGAGATACACGCCGCTTGTTGGAAATAGGTACTTCTAGGCTCCCAGATCCGAATCAAGTTCAAGCGCTTTCCTACGTCAAGTGTCGATATGTTTTTGCTCTTGGTTATTTTTTGGGCTGGCCGAACCCAAACCATTTGATCCGCCTTCCGATTTCATGTGTCAGCGCTTTCCCCCCAAAACTGGTGTGTAGGGAAAACAAGCAGTTTTATGTGATTGGGATGGTCGAGCGGACGACGGGCGGGGGGGGGGGAGTTCGAAGAACAACAAATTCCATAAAACACAATTTTCGCAGCTCCGCGCGGACTTCTGGATCGGCGCTCGACCCCCCTGGCGGCGGCTGCGGCGCCGCCCTTGGCGCCTTCCGCGAGCCAGGGAGGGGGGTGCAGCGCCGATCCAGGAAGTCCACGCGGAGCTCCGACGTCTTATGTTCACGTGTTCTTTCCCAACCCTCATGCGTTGGGTTCTCATTTTTTTCTAGAGCACTGCGAACGCACACCTTCTCCTCCCGCCCCCTCTCCCCTTCTCTCCTGCCTTTAACCCTGCTCCTTCCTGCATGCCGGCTTGCCTCCTACCTGGCCATTCCTTGGGGGGGGGCTGCGATCTGCGAACTTGGCGCCACTTTCCAGGGCTGCTGGGGGAGCCAGCGAAGTGGGGCCTTACCCAGACCCAGATTAGACCTCTCCATCCTTTGGGGGGCTGCGATTTTTGCGAAACTGCCGCCACTTTCGAGGGCTGCTGGGGGTGCCAGCGGAGTGGGATCCCACCCAGACTCAGATTAGACCTCGTCACCCATGGGGGACTGCGATATGCGGAGCTGTCGCCACTGTCGAAGGTTTTTGGGGGGGCAGCTGAGTGGGGAACCACTCAGGCTCAGATTATACCTCGCCATCCTTGGGGGGCTGCGATCTGCGAAAGCGTCACCACTTTCGAGGGCTGCTGGGAGGAGGCCAACGGAGTGGGGAACCACCCAGACTCAGATTAGACTCGACCTCGCCATCCCTGGGGGTTCCAGCGAGTGACCTCGCCATCACTGGGGGGGGCTGCGATGTGAGAAACAGCCGCCACTATCGAGGGCTGCTGGGGGGTCCAGCGGAGTGAGGCACCACCCAGAACCAGATCAGAACTCGCCATCCCTGGGGGGCTGCGATCTGCGAAATTGTCGCCACTTTCGAGGGCTGCCGGGGGGGGGGGGGGGGCAGCGGAGTGACGTCCCACGCAGACCCAGACTAGACCTCGCCATTTCTGGGGGGGGGGCTGCGATCTGCGAAACGGTCGCGACTTTCGAAGGCTGCCGGTGGGGCCGGTGGGGGGTCCCGCGCGGCGCTGTCGAGGGCCGCCCGCAGACCTGGAGGCGCACCTTCGAGCGTTCAGCTCACGCACTGAAAAGTGCAGGAAGGAAGCAGGGAAGCTGGCGGGCGAGCTGGGCCTCGCTCGTTTCTTGCACCAGCCATACGCAAGTTTAGGCATTTCGGGCGAGGGCCGCGGCGTCATGGCGAAGGCAGCGCTGCTTTCTTTTAGCGAACGACCGGCTAGAGCAGCTCTCTGCGGCCTCCTCCCGTCACTTCTCGTCGTCGTCCTCTGCCCCTTGCCATCTTCCCTCTGCTGCTGCCGCGCTGGCGGTTCGGCCCCGTGCGCGCCCTCGTCCTGCCCTTCGCTCCCGCCGCCACGTCTTCCTCGAGCCCGGGCCCTCGCGCCTCGTCCTCGAGCTGTTGTCCCGCCGAGTCGTGCCACGTTTGGTGCGCCCTGTGCAGCTTGCACAACATATAACGGCGCGTGCAGTGTCGCTGCCCTGGCGAAGTTGGGCCAATTTGTCGTGGCGCTTGATGCGAATTGGTTGGGTGCGTCGCAGGGTAATTGTCCCACTAGGCGGGTGGGCCGGGAGTGGCCGATCAGGGCGAACGGGGGCGATGGGACAAGGAGGGTTCTTGACAGTTCCCGCCTGCAGCCGGTTTGGGTATCGGCACCACGCGCTCGTCCTCGATGCGTGCGCTCCTCTGGGCGCCGAGGAGCGCCAGAGAACCCCCCCGCTATCCCCAGCTTCAATCCGCCCTGGGACGGGAGAGCCGGTGGGGGGTGGGGTGGGGGCAGAGGGGGGAGGGGGAGGGGGGGGGATGTCAAGCAGTGGCGAAGCGTCCTGGCTCGCCTATAGCCCTACCAAACAGTGTTCTAAGAACCTTTTGTGGTTCCCTCGAAATGTTCGTAGAACATTTCTGGTTGGGACTGTCTTGTTTTAACACATCGGGTTTATGTTCTAAGAGCATTTTTCTTAGAACATTGGGTTCTAAGAACATTTCGTGGTAGGACTATAGGAATGCCGGGACGGTCGGTCCCTGCTCAAGGATGGGGATGAAAGAGCAGTAGTGGGGAGGGAGACGTGGGGACTGGGAGAGGGATTAAGAGCGAGAGGGAGGAGCAGGAAGAGGGGGGAGGAGGAGGAAGAGGAGGAGGAGGAGGAGGAGGAGGAGGAGGAGGAGGAGGAGGAGGAGGACGAGGAGGAGGAGGAGGAGGAGGAGGAGGAGAGAGCACACTGGAAGTCGGGAGAGGGCGAAGGAGGTTTAGGAGAGAGTGCAGAGATGATACGCAGAAACAGGAGGGGTGGCATGATCAGGAGAAGGAAGGGAGGAAGGATCATGAAGGAAGGCAAGGAGGAGAGAGGAGGAGCAGATCGGTTGGAGGAGACAGGAGGAGAAATACGTAGCACTCCGCAGATGCGGCTAAGAGTGAGGGGGCGGAAGGGACGTCGGCAGTTTGCGAGACTCCGGAGAAGCCCGCCGCAGGCGCCAACGTTTCACAAATTATACAGCGAGCCCGCCGCAGGCGCCGATTTTTTCTTTAAAACAATATGGGTAGGTCGCGGGTGGGTCGCAAATGGGTCGCGGGAGGGTCGCTGGTGGGTCGCTGTTGGTTCGCGGGTGGATCGCGGGTGGATCGCGGGTGTAGAGGGCAGAAAATCACCCCCTGAATAGTCACCCCGACAAGCGAATGCGTTGAGTAAACACACATAAGGAAAGAATCGAACAGGGCAGGTTTGTGAAGTAAGCGCCCAGGGGGCCGTTTAGTAAACGTCAATTGTCGGGTCCGGCTGGTTTTTCCTCACTTGAGGGTGGGTCGCGGGTTGGATCGCTGGTGGGTCGCGGGTAAGTCGCGGGTGGGTCGCGAATTGGATCGCGGGTTGGATCGCGGGTGGGTCGCGGGTAAGTCGCGGGTAAGTCGCGGGGTGGGGTCGCGGGGTGGGTCGCGGGGTGGGTCGCGGGTGGGTCACGGGTGGGACGACGACAACAAACAACAACAACAACGACAACAACAACAATAACAACAGCAACAACAACAACAACAGCAGCAACAGCAACAGCAACAGCACCAACAACACCAACAGCAACACCAACAACAACATCAACAACACCACCAACAACAACAACAGCAGCAACAACACCAACGCAACGCGCAGAATTCTCACCACACATTCCCTATTTATCGAGCCACGCACTCAGGGACAATGAATGACCGTTCGGCCCCCTCACTCTGATTCACATTCTGGAACATCGGTTTTCGTGTCATGGGTCTGGCCATGTCGAGCAGGAGGAGAAGAATAATGAGGAGTAGCAACAGCATCAGGACGACGAGGATGAGGAGGAAGAGGGAAACAGTGGCGGGAACTGGGAAAAAGTAACCCGGGGGGGCTGTCGTGACTGGAGCGGGGTAGGCCAGAATACAGTCAAGACCCTGACTCAAAGGCCATTCTGTGCTGAAAAGGGGCTGTGGCTTTTGGCTTTTTCCTTCGGCCTGGGTCGGGAACTTGCAGTAGGGGCCCGACCACAAGGAACCTGCCACTAGAAGCCCAACCCTGAGACCCCAGGATGACCATCGTTTTTTGTCGCGGGGACGTCACGCCTTCCAGAGCAACATCCTCGAAACCCCAGGAAGCCCAGGGCGCCCTGGAGGCAAGCAGGGTGTTTCATGGCATGGGCCTCCAGTGTATTCGTGACCGAGGCTCGGCGTGGCCAGACGAGCCCAAAAACGTTCCTCAACGCTCCCCGCCTGGCCTTCCTCAGTGGTGGCACCGCC